TCCTGGTGAACAAATACGAAAATTAAACAAATATTTTTCTTTTAATAAAGTTGTCAAAATTCCTCCGAGTCTTGAGAATAAGCATGGTTTGGAAGAACCTCCTTTAACTTATTCACCTTCTTTCTTGAAACAAGAAGTCTGTCGTTTGTAGGATCCTTCCTATTTTCCAATTGGTTCAGGTTGCTTTTTTGACAAGTTGTTGATGCTTTGGTCAATTTCTGGTTTCAACACTAAGTAAAAAGGAATAGTTAAAGAAACCAGCCATAGACCATCAACAGTTCCATTAATGAATTTTGGTCCTTTGGAGTTTGCACACCTCCATATGTGGAAGGGATGGCCCTGCCCTGTTCTGTCGTCAGCTCCTGTTTTGGATATCCTTCCAACTCCAGAGCCATTTTTAGACCATTGAAGGGAAGCTTATCTTTCGCTACCTTCCCCACCAAACAACAACACTCCCACTTGATGATCATGCCTTTCCCTTTTACCACCTTTGATTTTCGTCGGCCCTGGTTTTTTCTGGTCGGAGATTCCACTGGTTAGCCTTGGTGCTGGAGTTTGGAAGTTAGCGGCTTCAGAGTTTTGTTTCCTTTTGATTCTTTTTAGGATTGGTTCCTCCTTTTGTTTTAGCAAGCTCTATCGCCATTTTACGCCTCTGAGCCCCCAAAATCTTCTTGTGTTTGATGTAGTTTGTCGATCTGCTCTGTCATCTCCATTTGAGTGGTTTCGTCTTCAATAATTCTATCCTCTTGAAGAGACCTGCAGGAGGTGACGCGAGGAGCTTGCCCTCTATTTCTAGAGGGTTCAAGCCCTCCTCTATCTCCAGAAGCTGGGTGGTAGGGTTTTCCTTTCTAGATTCCCCCCCTAGAGAGCCCTCTTTCCGGTGTAAGGTTTATCAATGAACAGGGTCACTTGGTACCCTTTAGGCTCCATTACTGATACACTTGTAGAAGGGTGAGGTGCATAATGTAGGGTTTAAGAAGGACTTCAGGTCCAACTCCTCTCCCTCCAAACACCAATTTCCTTGAGAAGGTGGAAAGTCATAGTTAATTTTAAATAACATGGAGAAAATATTGTAAGGTGGTTTGACCCTTCGTTCGCGACGCCCAACATGGACATTAAGCCCTCTTGTATGCAGGAATTACTTTATTGTTTTACTAGGATATTTAATGTTTCCCAATTGTTTTAAATCAATTGATCTTTCTCTGTAACCATTTACAGTTGTTTGTAATGCTGTCTCGTTTTTTATATTCTTCTACTTATTTCTTCTCTTTTTTGTATGACTTCATGCTCTCCCAGTTTTTCTCTTCTTTTTCCAAGATCACTTGTGACTTCAGTCTCCCTTCTTCTACTGCGACTTAAAAAATCTAATTTAGAATTGATATCCCGGCTTGAACTTTGCTCATTTCTCTAGGCTTTAGTGCTGTCTTTCTGAAGTACCGTTTCCGGGTTAACGGTTTGCAATCACATAGGACATGCTCCGATTGTTATTTCATGATAGAGATAGCAGGACCTTTCTATTTTTGTAAAGTGGTAAATGAGTAAAACCCTATTATTATTTTTTTTTTAATTCTTGCCTGCTGAGAGATATTTGTCTTTCCCGTTGAGATGTTGAGTAACTTCTTTCATTGTTTTCTGCCTGGTGAATTCATCAAGGTCATTTAGCTTTTGGGTGTGCCGATTTGCGTTTCTTGTTTAAAAGGTGTGAGAGCTGAACCTGTTTTTGCTAGTTGATTTGAATCCTCTTGTGTCCTGGCACCAGACTTAAATTTTTCCAGGTGCTTATATTTTAGACATTCCCAGACCATCTTTGAGCTGAAGGTGGAGGAGCCTAAAGTTTTCTTAGAATCTTTTCACCTTTTTGTTCTTTTTTTAAGTACTTCTTGTGCACAAAGTTCTATTTCATCTCAGCTTTCTGGAAGGCAATTTTCTCCCAGATGTTTTTTTACGGATGGAAAGATATTAATTACTTTCACTTTTCTGGGATGCACATCTTAAAGAATTTTTCTAAAGAACTATTTCGTTTTTGTTTTTTTAAAGAGGGTTTGCTACAGCAGAGGTCATATCAACCCTCGTGGTGCTGGTGTTTTTGAAAAAAAAAGCCCATTTGTTGTTTTTATATTTCGTATTATACTTCATTTCTGGTCTAGTAAATTAGTTTTTTTGAATTTTGACAATTTTTTGGTGGGGTTCAGTAAAGGAGTGATTTTTTTTTCATTGTTATTTCTTCTGTTTGTGAAACTGTCCCACCCTCTAAGATCCTCCAAGTTTGGCTAATTATAAGGTTGGTATCAACTTTTGTTTTGTAAAATTGCAACTATGAGTACGATTCTTTCTACATATGCTTGGTGGTTACTTTTTTTAGGCATAATCAGTCGATGCATTTAACATCTTGCTTGTGTGAAAATTGGCTGAGAGTGTTATTCTATAGAAATATGTTATGTGTTATATTATAGAAAAATACTTTGTACAACAGCGATCAAAAAAATTTAACACAATAATACATAATCCGCTTAGTCTTCCCTTGCTTTTGTCCTTCTTCATTAGCACATTATATCTTGCCTTCTTGTCTCACTTCAGTTATACAGTAACTGAGTGGTTAGGGAATCCGACTCATATGTGTCACGCTAGTGGTTCTGGGTTCGAATCCCGGCAGAGCCCATGGCTGTTTGAATATGAAAAATGTATTGTAACGTGGTTTGACCCCTTGTCCTCAACATCCGACGGGTAGTTGGACGTTAAGCCTCCTTACTTTACATCCTGTAAGTCTCCTATGAGGGATCAAAAATGTCAAACTATCCTGGATTTCTCTCCGGTACAAAATAAAACAAGAGCCCTATTCTTCTAATGTTAATTTGGTTTATAATATTTTCAAATTATAGTATTTACTATTTTTGATAGTGGAACTAGTCTTGTTCTGCAAAGTGTTGAACATTGAGTATCAAGAGGTTGTTTTAATTTTCTCCTAAAACAGTTTAAAGTCATGTGTAGAGATTAGTGACCGTTAATCGATAGTTATTCAGATATCGTGAGATGCGGTCGGGTGTGATGTAGGTTTCAGAAAAACATTTTCTTTATCGTGCCTACGTTTCCATCTTTATCAAGATCATCTTCAGGGCCTGGGATTTACAAACAATGTTTACATTTAACAAATACATTTAGGATGTGGAAAAGTGAATTTATACAATGCAAAATATATTTTATATTCAAACAAAGTATTTCTACTCACTCAAAGTGTTTGTCTTCTGTGTAATTGTGCCATCTTTGCGTGTCGTGTTGAGAGTGGCAGTGAGATTTTGCTGTTTTATGTTTATGTATGTTTGGTTTTGAAGGGGTGGGGAAGGAAGTCGGTATAGAAAAGACATTTTTGTATGAAGCGTTGGCTTCTTTGAGGTGAAAAGGGCCGACGACGGGAAAAAACGTTGGTAATGGTTCGGCCAGATTATCCTTTCAGGATTATATAGAAAGGGATAAATAGGAAAAGGAAAGGTAAATTGTTGGAAAATTAGACTATGTGAAAAGTATTTGATGTGTGGAATGTAATGTAATGATATATGTATGTTATATATATTGTATTTGATTAATGGTATTGGCATAGCTGCGACTGAGTTTACATGTATCTGTTCTGTAATTGATGCTGTGTTTATCTCTGTTGATATAAACCATTTCTAAGAAATTACGTTTAGGTTTGTTTTGTTCTGTAATTAATGCTGTGTTTATCTCTGTTGATATAAACCATTTCTAAGAAATTACGTTTATATTTGTTTTGTTCTGTATGTAATATTTTTGGATTTTTGAAGTCAAAATTGTGTTTTATAATTTTTGAAAGCTATTTTGAAGTTCTCGGACGAGAGAAATGTGTTTAATATAATGTGTTTTAACTTCAAAATAGCTTTCAAAAATTATAAAACAATCCAAACACTTTTTTCCAAAGTTAAAGATCCCACGCCAATAACAAATAACTCTGACGTAATCTACAAGATCAACTGTTTAAACTGTCCAGCAACTTACATCGGTCTTACATCCCAATATCTGGACAAGAGAGTAAAGTAACATATCTATGATTGCAAAAAACACAAGCAAAATCCTACAGCACTCGCTACCCACCACTTTGAACACCAACACAATTTTGACTTCAAAAATCCAAAAATATTACATACAGAACAAAACAAATATAAACGTAATTTCTTAGAAATGGTTTATATCAACAGAGATAAACACAGCATCAATTACAGAACAGATACATGTAAACTCAGTCGCAGCTACGCCAATATCATTAATCAAATACAATATACATAACATACATATATCATCACATCACATTCCACACATCAAATACTTTTCACATAGTCTAATTTTCCAACGATTTAGCTTTCCTTTTCCTATTTATCCCCTTTCTATATAATCCTGAAAGGATAATCTGGCCGAACTATTACCAACACATTGTTCCCCTTTGTCGGCTTTTTTCACTTCAAAGAAGCGGACGCCTTACACAAAATTGTCTTTTCTATACCGACTTCCTTCCCCACCCCTTCAAAACCAAACATACATAAACATAAAACAGCAAAATCTCACTGGCACTCTCAACACGACACGCAAAGATGGCTCAATTACACAGAAGACAAACACTTTGAGTGAGTAGAAATACTTTGTCTGAATATAAAATATATTTTGCATTGTATAAATTCACTTTTCCACATCCTAAATGTATTGTTTGTAAATCCCAGGCCCTGAAGATGATCTCAATAAAAGATCGAAACGTTGGCACGACAAAGAAAATGTTTTTCTGAAACCTACATCACACCCGACCGCATTTCACGATATCTGAATAACCAGTTTAAAGTCAGTTCATAAATCCAACGTTTATGATCAGTTTAGAAATAAAATACCAGGATCAAAGATGACCAAACTATAAACAAACAAATAAAATATAAACTACCTTTTAATTATTTTATGTCAATTGTTTTCTTCTTCTTTTTTTTCATTGAACTTAATTATTTTAGCAATATGCTCCGAGGACGAAGAACGTTTGGTAAGGGACCTGTTCAGAGGTTACAACAAACTTATACGTCCTGTTCAAAACATGACCCAGAAAGTAGATGTCCGTTTTGGCCTAGCATTTGTACAGCTTATAAACGTCGTAAGTAATTATAAATTATGTAAATTACAAATGAAATATCAATTCATGTTTTATTTTTCTTGTTGCAGAACGAAAAGAATCAGATTATGAAATCCAATGTTTGGCTAAGGCTGGTAAGTGAATTTTCAATTTAAAAAATTAAACAATTGAATGATCTCTCTATGTGATCTGCGAAGTGATGAACCTGCAGGTCGTTACAGATCATTTTGGTCTGTTGGATTGCCTGTCGGACGCATTTCGGCTTTGTAGGCCTGTCCCCAGGCCGTATATAATAATGGTGGATAAGTGGATGTAACCTGAATCGGAACACAGTCTGAAGAGATCCTCTGTCCAGGCATTTTGTGCCACATAGACTGCCAATTTGCTGGACCATTTTGGTGATGGTGTGCCACTCCTTGTTGGGCTTTTGTTGGTGTTTTATGTGTTTCCTTAAGCATCTCTTCAATCCCGGATGCTCAATTTCGTGCTATTTTTATTGAGAAAGGAGTGTTAAACTTAAAGCACTTAAACAAGTAGAAAGTAAAAAAGTAATTTCAAATCAATACACGGCGCGACAACTATGCTAAACCTTCAAGACCGGTAGGTCGTGCAAAACTGAGGACCAATTTGTTGGCGACCAACGTTCGAATCTATATATTCGTTGTCTTTCATTGGCCAAGATTTGTTTGCAGACGATTGAGTGTATTTATTAGCGTGATTGATTATGGAACTTTAAATATAATAGGTGCAGGAATTGGTGTGAATGAGAGCTGGCCGTTCGTCGGAATATTTCACTACCTCGATGGCCTGTTAAATGCAGATGTGTCCCAGGTCATTGCAATCATAAGATAAGCATTAAATACATAGGCTAATTCGAGGTGGAAAATATTAAAATGCAGAGAGAAAAAATGTTGTGTGCCGGCTTTGACCTAGGTGTTTGTCGGCAAAAAAAAAAAAAAAATCACTGTTATACCAGGTATAACACTTAAACAAGTAGAAAGTAAAAAAGTAATTTCGAATCAATAGACGGCGCGACAACTATACTAAACCATCATGACTGGACGGTCGTGCAAAATTGATGACTTATACGCCGTGAACTTATTACCGTGTAATGCATTATTCTCTCCGTCTACATATGTATATACATATAAATAATTAAATATCTTTATAATCTGCGTAATATTATTATCTGGCTTCTGCGTGACAATGCGCGAAGACAAAATTAATCTGTTTAATTAAAAATGTTAGTAAACCTGAGTGATTTATATTCATTTTATCTTTTAATTATAAAAACAATGAAGAACGGAAGCATCTCAATTTTTTAATTATGACATTTGAGAAAATGAGAAGAACTCATGGACGTGTCTCTCGAAACGATAAGCCGACTGACTGTTTTAGCCTAGAATGACATTCAGCAATTCCCAGCTTAAACAATAGAAAAGAAGAAGAAGACTGATAAAGGAGGATATCTCACGGGTAAAAACGGCTAACCACGATGCCAAATTTCAGAATAATTCTATTCATCTGAGTGAAGTGGCAATTTTCAAGTACCCTGTGGTTAAAATTTTTTCTTGGAAATATGAGACGAATGTCTTTGTGGATGGAGCCAAATGAACATGCGGTAATTTCTCTAAGTACAAGTGGGGTATTGTTGTGCTTTAACATCCCGTATCCAGATCAAATTGAATCTCAATTTCCTCTAGCTTCATTCCCAATTTATATCCTGACTTTATATCCTGAGTTTCCTTAACATTAAATAAATTTTCATCACTGGCTGACCCCTCTCCCACAAAATGGGTTCCTTCTGGCTTGTTAACTTTCTATCTGAGAATGAGGACTGCTGTCCTGACTGCTTCCCTGTCCGGTCTACATCTTCACAGTTTACTGACTTACTGCAGCAAGCCCTTTCTAAATGGCCATTACGTTTGCACCATCTACAAGAAAAACCTTTGTATCTGCAATTATTTGGGTCATGATTCACCCCTTCACTTGCCTCAGGCCTATGGTATTGTTCCACCAGGTTTTAAGATGAATTTTAAGAAAAATGTTTTTGCCTTACTTTACAGACGCATCTTATTGTTTTTGCAACTTTTTATACATAGTTGATCTCATTTAATACAATCTTACATATTATTTTCTTATCAGCACAAGAGAGAACTCTGAAGCTTTTTTAAAGAATCAAGAGTCTTATTTGCCTTGAATTTATAAATTTACGAGTACAGAAAAATCAGGAGGCCTAGAGGCCCACAGCAAGCCAGGACCAACTAGAGGGACAGGCGTTAAAAAGACAGATTGACGTGTAGCTGTTTGTATTATTAACTCCAGTTGTTTATGGAGGGGGCTGTGAACATCCATTTCCTCCAAGAACTGGGCTCTGTTGACAAAACTAGGCAGCCGAACACCTCCAGTGGTCCAAACTTGCTGACCACCAGCCACTAATGGCCATGCTACCTCATTCCCCCATCACCAATGGCATATTAGAAAGCTTTTCATGTGTCCTCTTTGTTTTGTTGACTCTTCTACTTTATCAGCCCAAGCCATTATGTATGTGTAATGTGCCATATGTGAAGGTAGGTCTCACCATCATGGTGAACATCCAGAGCAGGGTTTCGGTCATGTCATGTCCTGAGACCCAACAGAGTGTGTTTCTTATTCATAAGAAATCCCAAGAATAGCTAGATAACGAAACGGTCCACTCCATCAGATCAGATCACTGCATGATGGAGTAAGCCTAAATACTCTCTGAGGTCACCTGGTACCAGGGAGCTGTTGGGGCGGAAGCTGTTTTCTGTCTAGCCCAAGGGAGGGGGTATTGGGTGCTGATAGGAGTTAGGATTAAGGAGGTGTGTGATTGATAGGAGTTTCTTTAGTGAGGGATGGTTAGGGAGTTTGAATATTTCACTTTAAATATATATTCCACTCCAAGAACACCAGAGCCCCTTTAGCCTATTCGCACCAGGCATTGACAGTCAGGGAATGAACCGTCCTGTCAAGACGGTGAAGTGTGTCTCCTAAGGTTCACTACTAGGAAGCAGGGTTGGTTTTTGAACCCTCCTTTCTGTGATTTTGCAATAACCAAATTAAGGTGCATCACTTCGCAGACCACACAGAAAAATCAACACAATTTAATTAAATTGTATTCAGGAGTGATTTGCCAATAAAATAATTAATTTATCTAAAGTGTTTTCCTAACTGTTAATAAATCACAATTAAACTTTCTAGGTCTGGACCGATTACCAGCTGCAATGGGACGAAGCTGACTATGGTGGAATCGGCGTGTTAAGACTCCCGCCTGACAAAGTGTGGAAACCAGATATTGTTTTATTTAACAAGTAAGATTTTATTAATATTTTAATTTGCATATGGATGCATTGATAATGAAAAATTGAAATGAGTAAAGAACTTTTAAAGTAAATCTGAAAAATCCATGAGAAGTTCCTTTTAAAAAGAATCCTTCCCTCTTAGAAGAGCAATACATTATTCCGACGTAAACTCTTCCTCTCTTGAGCTGAAACAGTACTGCTTGGGTGTTTTCCTTGATGGGGCTCAAGCCATGGGGTCTAGCCTTTGGGTTTGCTTTTGAAGCTCAAGAATATCCCTTTACCTACCTCATCTTCCAATCTTATCTGACTGACGGCTTCTTTCATGTCAGCCGGGAAACATCCTCTCTGACTACTATCTGTTAAGGCCGAAGTCCCACTGAGCAGTACTCTTAGTCCCATCTTATATTCAATATAAACAGCTGACCTCCTGACACATTCAGTCTTACTTTTGCAAATGGTACTGCTATACTTTCCTCCAATAAGTTTCACAGGCTCACTTTTTCAGAAGAGAACCTTAGCTGAAAAAGTGGTGGATAAAAATAAATGTTGACAACCAACAAATAACTTTTATTCTCCGCCGTGGACTATTGTCACCGTTATACTTACATCATATATCTATCTCTTCCTATATTAACCACATCCACTAACTCAGGCTGTATATCAACAAAAAACTAACTTGGAATCCACATACAAGACTAAAAAAGCAGAAATTGACTAGACGTCACAAAACTCTTTCACAGCTTCTAGACAAATGATCAAAACTGACGCTTCACAATAAATGACTGATATACAAGACGATAAGTAAACCCATTTGGGCTGTGGGGTTTAAACAAACCTTCCAACTATCATCGCATCCAGATTTTCCAATCCAAAATCCTCACAAAAATAGTATTCTATGTATCCAATCATAACCTTAAAATTCCTTTTGTGAAATATGTCATAAAATCTGATACATAAATTTCCACAAATCCCTTTCATTACACTTTAATCTGATAGTTTTAAGTTTAACATCCTGTACTATCCTCAATAATCCTCCCAGGAGAGCGGGACTGATCTGTGGCCAGTTGGGCAGTGAGATGTTGTCGTAGAAGTGTCACCACTGGGTGTTCTTCACAACCTAGTGCCGGATTTTCTTTTACTTCATTTTAAATTTTTACATGTTAACAATGTTACCTATGGTATAGAAAAATAAATACTATTGTAAAAATCAAAGAAAAGAAAGTAAATCTGATGTTTTGATTACAGTGCAGATGGAAATTATGAGGTTAGATACAAATCTAATGTGTTGATATACCCTACCGGTGAAGTGTTATGGGTTCCTCCAGCTATATACCAAGTCGGTTATTATATTAACAAATGTGAATTACATTTAAGAATGTATTTAATCGAATTTTAATTTCCAGAGTTCATGCACCATCGATGTCACTTATTTTCCATTTGATCAACAGACTTGTATTATGAAGTTTGGGTCGTGGACATTTAACGGTGATCAAGTGTCCTTAGCATTGTACAATAATAAAAATTTTGTTGATCTCTCGGACTATTGGAAATCAGGAACTTGGGACATCATTGAAGTCCCAGCATATCTAAATGTCTATGCTAGTAGTCAACCGACAGAAACGGACATTACATTTTACATTGTAATTAGAAGAAAAACATTGTTTTACACTGTGAATTTGATTCTACCGACTGTACTCATTTCATTTCTTTGCGTGCTTGTATTTTATTTGCCAGCCGAAGCGGGAGAAAAAGTAACATTAGGCATTAGTATTTTACTGTCATTGGTTGTGTTCCTCTTGTTGGTATCAAAAATACTACCTCCGACATCACTTGTATTGCCTTTAATAGCTAAATACCTGTTGTTTACATTTATTATGAATACAGTGAGTATTCTTGTTACTGTTATCATTATAAACTGGAATTTTAGAGGTCCAAGAACTCATAGAATGCCTCCATGGATTAGATTAACTTTTTTATATTATTTGCCAATGGTATTGTGTATGAAACGTCCAAAGAAAACGAGGTTAAGGTGGATGATGGAAATGCCAGGTATGACCGCTCCTCCACATCCTTCCTACGGATCTCCAGCAGAACTGCCTAAGCACATCGCACCTCCTGCACCAGGAAAAAGTAAAATGGAAGCAATGGAATTATCAGACCTTCATCATCCGAATTGCAAAATAAATCGTAAATCGAGCACAGAAAGGCGAGAGAGCGAAAGTTCAGATTCGCTGTTGCTCTCGCCAGAAGCGTCCAAAGCTACCGAAGCCGTGGAATTCATTGCTGAGCACCTTCGCAATGAAGATCAATACATCCAGGTGAATGACAAAATTGTATCACTTTTTTAAACAAATATTTTATATGTATATACACAAAGATTTCATACCAACTAATTATTATTACAGTCAAAATTCCCGAAACAGACGCTTGTAATAACCAGAAGAAAAAAATTCCCTAACATTATTTCATTTCCCTTGCTAAGAAGAGTATTTTTCTTACTCTAATAAACAAACAAGGAAACTAGGTTTATAGATTTTTCAATGAAAAAGTCTCTTATAAACAGACAACAAAAAGAAAAACAACTCAGGATAATCATCATTTGACAGATAAATATAATGCCCTCTGCCACATTATTTTCGGTTTGTCTATCCCTGCTGGGTCAGCCTGTCAGATGCATCTCACCATATTCATCTTTTCACAGGATGAAATCTCATAATTTAATATTTTTCCTAGATGGACCCTCCTAACAAACGGACAAAATTTCATAAGCGAGTGATGTCCACCTATAGGAAGTGCAATTTTATATTTTTTCCATAATTCAATCGTTGCTGATCATTTTTGGTTTGTCTACCCCTTGCTGAGTTGATTTATCAAATGGATTTCACCATTTATCTGTCTACAGAAGGAAATTTTCCTATTGGTCGACCAATCCAATAAGCAGACCAATTCCATAATTGAGTGATGTCCACTTATGGGAAGTTTAATTTTATATTTTTTTTATAATTCGATTGTTGCTGATCATTTTTGGTTTGTTTATCCCTCACTTGGTTGATCTGTCAGATGCATTTCACCATTTGTCAAGTGTAGGAAATCTCATGATTTAAAATTTTTTCCAATGGTGGACCAATACATTTTCCATACCATTACCCAATAAAAAAAACCATAGGCTCTATCAGGATTCAAACGCGTGGCCAGTCAGCTTAATATAAAAATAACCCAGAATGTAACAAGACTTTTTTATGAACTCTTCTCAAACAAAATGCCTATAAACATAATTAGAGTACTCCTAATCCTCTTCACACTTTTAAATACAAATTATTTGGTCGTGGTCGACCATGGGGTCTCCTAGAAGGTGGTTGGGCAAAAAAAAGAAAGACAAACTATGTTGAATTTTGTTTGGTTCTCAAGCCTCCCAAAGGTGGAATTTTGTGTGTAATCTTAACTATCACTATATATCTTGGCCTCGGCCTTTAGCTACATAAAAATCTATCGCTCATACTTGTAACAATCCCATTTATGTTTCAGATAAGAGAAGATTGGAAATATGTCGCGATGGTAATCGATAGATTGCAACTACTCATATTCTTCATTGTAACAACCGCTGGAACTGTCGGAATTCTCATGGATGCCCCACATATATTCGAATACGTCGATCAAGACAAGATTATTGAAATATACCGAGGAAAGTAAATCAATATAAATACTATAAACTATCCTATTATTAATACCAAAAAGAAACATGGCACCTGTGTAGAAATAGGGTTAAATTTAATCGACTGATATGCTTCCAAAAGAACAATCATCAGTATTGTATTAAGTATTATAAAAGTTAGTGTTGAAATTATTTATTTATTTTGTAATTTATCCATGGATCCTCATGTTGATATATTTAAATAAATTCAACTAAAGAAAATTCGAGAGAATTAAAAAGGTAATATATCAATGTTATAATTTTTTAACAGTTGTTATTTTAAAATTTTACTCGAGAATAAGTAATCAGAGTAAAAACTTTTTGTAGTCTAATTATTAATATATAATATAATGTTTTATATTAAACTAGTCTTTAAAGTTGGATACTTCATAGCTAGGCTCATCGAAACGTAATCTTAGGCTAATTTTCCGAGAGGGCGATCATGCTCTTTCAGAAAACTACTGCAAAATTAACTGCCAACCATCGTTTTAAAATTTAACACATTGTCCATTGAATTTTTAAATAAAATAAAACAGGTTAAAAAAAATTAATTATGTAATAAAAGCTTGAGAAATGCATTCTGAATTGTAATTATTTTTTTTATGCAGTCGTGTTCCATGACAGTAAAATAACATTTTCTGTGTATATAATTATAAGGGTGAATAAAATTAATAAATGTCAATAAAATTCACCCTAAATGAATAAAGTTTGCAAAGAGATTACACCATAAATTATAATATCTTTTATATTATACTTATGAAAAATTGTGTTTATTCTCTCATAATCACTTTAAATAACGTTTATAAAGAAGTTATAACTTGTAACTTTTCTTTTAGTGTTCAAAAAGCTGGTTTTTTAAGCTATATACATTATATATTCCCAATTTTAGAAAGAGGGATGGTAATTTTTTTATAATTGTTTCCAATTATTTAAATTATTATTTCATTTGTGACTAATAAGACATACATGTGTATATTTGTTAAATGTATGTTGAAAGTGAGGTGCTTATATTCAAGTTAAAAACAATCCCATGTTCAAGACATGCTGTTTATAATATATATATTGTTATCTATAATAATGTATTAGCTTATTTGCTAAAAAATTGTTAATCATAATAATTATGAAAAAAGAACTAGTAGTGCACATAACTATAAATTTGACTGGTGTTCTTATTTAATTATTAAATATTCTGTCTTGTGTAACAATAGTCAGCTTTAAAGTACTTAAAATTTACATTTTTGATATTTGTTCATTGAAGTTGAGTAAAAAAAAATGGACTTTAGTTTTATCCAGTATAAAATGAGAAGAGTGACACAAATCTATCTATCAATTTATTGCCAGTCAATGATGGATTATTAAATTTTAAAAAAAGATCAGTAAGACTTTTAGAAAATTAAAAATTAGATTTAACAATATAACTAAAATAGGCTAATGTAGTTAAATAAATTACATTAACATTTATTTCATTTACTGGCCTAGAGTGTAAGCATAGTTAGTTTTTGATAAAGTGAAGTGTTAAACATCATGCATCATGTATATGCCAATGTTTTTATTATATATTTACAGAGTAGAAAACTCTACAATTGTAACTGTTATACAGTGTTATCATTTTTTAACATTTCAATTTGTTAACTTTTTTCAAAGTATAAATATATCATTTCATTACGATACGTGGGAAGCTATTGTGCGAGTCGATGAGAATGTTCATTAACGAATTTAAAACATGGAATTTCCCTAAATAGTAAACAAATCACAGTTTACGGATTTATGTGAACTCATTTAAAATACATAGGAAGCAGATACATTAAGAATATTAAGCTCAATTTCATTCAAAACGTTGTTGTTATTACTAAAGACCAAATTTTTATGCAATAAAAAAATCAAAAGTGCAAAAAAACAAGTGTAATAAAAGTGAAAATTCTCATTTGACGTAATAAAAAGAAGTTTTGTCTTAAACATTGTTTGTGATGTGATTGTTTATTAATCAATTTGTCTACAGCATACTTTGCAAAAACCAATTTTTCCATCGATATTCAGTTCTGTATCAGGTAAATTTTGACCTCATAGTAGTATGAACTTAATAACCGTTCAATTTATTATAAACAATTTTTCAAAATGAATGATAGGTAGTATTCGAACGCACGATCTTGGGTTAAATACTCCTACGCTCTACCGCTTTGATTTCCCGCCTAATTTGGAAGCATCATTTCATTATGTATGCTCAGCGTTGCTCTCAAGCCAAAGGAAAACTGAGCATGAAAAAGTGAGAAATACACATCTAATGGGACAGAACGGATGTTGAACATAAAACAATTTTCAATTTATTATAGATGATTTTTCAAAAGGAAAAAAATCTGTTTATCTGGCAGGATTCAAGCCCACATTCTTGGGATAAAAATTTCTCCGATGCTCTACCACTTGAACTACTGCTTCGATCGCCTGTGCCACAATCAAAATGAGAATTCTCGGAAGCAAGGAGGTATTTATCCGAAGATTGTGGGTTCAAATCCTGTCTGTGATACATATTTTTCATTTTGAAATCAACAATAATAAATTTAATATAGATAAAAAATAATAAAAAAATTAGTACAAAAAATCTTGGAAAATTCTAGGCATCAGAAGTTGAAAATTTTGATGAAGTACATTATTTAAAATAAATATGTTGTTTTACCCTCAATTCGTTTACTCACTAACATAAAAAAACACTTAATACTCAAAAAACATAAAAATTGGAAAAAAATTAAAACAATGGAATTGAGAAGGTTGTGGCGTGCACAATTGAACCGGAAGCTTGAGTGGTAGAGCAATGGAGTATTTATCCCAAGATCATGGGTTACAATTTTTTTTATTTCTCTTGTGCAGTGTTCAATTGCTATGATTTCAGACTGTAAACCTGTTGCATATTTACCTAAGTTTAAAGTCAGTTTGGTCTTCAGATTCATCTCGAGGACTCCAGCTTCTGTGTCTCTATCCATTTTTGAGCCGTCAGTATACCATTTGGCCTTCATAGGTATTCATTTAGCCCACTCTTCCCTTGTTCATATTGGTTAAGTTATATTTTGGAGTAGTGGCATTGATTGGCATGCCTAGTATGGCATCTGTCTGTTTCCTCTGTTTGTTTCCATTGTTTGTTGACATGGCCTATCTTTGCAGATGGTTGTCCATTTGTGAGACTGTGAGCCACTGCTCTGGCTTCTTGCATTTGAATATGGCACAGTGGAAAGTGTTGTTAACGCCAAGGTCGCAGTTGGCATTGTATTCATGGCTCTGAGTGTCACTTAATAGCCTGATCGCCTTAACCTGCAAAATCTTGGCCCACCATCCCACCAACCCATATGTCAACATTGGTCTTATGGCACAGGTGTAGAGCCGTAGGGTAGTTTCAGAGTTTAATCCCCAGCTTTTAGCACAGCACCTTCTGCACCTCACCCCGGCAATTTTGTCTGCCTAGTGGTTTTAATTATATGTGAATTCCATGTGAGCCACTGGTCTAGTGTAATTCCTAGATATTTGGCTTCCTTGAATAATGGAATCAGTGTCCTGTTTAGGCTTGGAATTTTTATTTCCTTGTGAACGGACAATCATTATCGTTTGTGGGGGTTAATAGATAGCTCCTCTCTTTACACCACCTATCTACCAGGTTGAGAGCTTGTACACAGTCCATCATAACCTCTGCATGGCCTTTTACCACTATGGCAAAGTTCTCCACATAGCCTAGGCAGTGGAATCCTTCTTATTCCAGTATGTTAAGAATTCATCTAACAGTGTTGATCACAGTAGTGGTGAAAGAACCCCTCCTTGTAGGCATCCTCTGGCTGTTCTATCTTGGGTGGCTGTGCCACTTAGGGTGGATGTAACTATCCGTTTACTTATGCCCTCTCCCATCCATTGGCAGACCTTTATATTTTCACACATAAAAACATAAAAAACAAATAACTGTAAAAAAAAATTCGTTTCTGTGCAAACTAGAAGCAAAATTTAGTTATTACACCAATGTGATAATAGATTTTCTGCGTTATTATTAATAATACACACTGACAAAACAGGCAAATTATTTAATGGTTAATTCAAGTTCCAATGATGTGTCAAAGTGTTAAAACAAATTCAGCAATGTTCACAAAAAAGAGTGATCTCACTGTAAGTTATAAAATTATGAATTAGATTAACAATAAGATGAATAACATTGTCTAAATAAATTGATTTATATCCAAAGTACTGCCAAATTTGTTAATATGCAAACTTTTCAACTAGTAGTTTGGATATTAAAAATTTGTTATATAATTGTAAACTTTTTTTTAATACGTTATAATTAATCACTTCCATGATCAAACCTAAATACATGAGAAAAATTAATGAAAGTTTATTTTTGTTAAAAACTCGTCGAAGAAAAAGAAATTGTTCTAAATGAAAATATATGAAAAATTTAAAATTTCCCATTTTGAAAAATGCTGAACTGTATTAAAATAAAACTAAATTGCTCAATTAGCCGGAGTAAATTATTCGATCGAGTTTACAATAGATTATTTCTATATATGATAGTGCAACTGATATCTTCCATATAAACTAAAATGCCTTTTATTTAAATAATGTTAAAAAAATAGTAAAAATGTGAAAGTTTATAATGGGCTTAAATTCAAAATGTAATTTTGTTTATCTGTGAATGCCCAAGTGCTCTTAGAAAACGATTACTGTTTTAATTGGGTAACTTCCTTTTCAATAAAGCTAATCGATATTTTTATACTTTTAAGAAGCTTAGGAATTTATCCGAAACAACAATACAGAAAATGGAAAGATTTTGAATAAGGTATTATATTGCATGGACTTGATTTGGCACAATTTATATATATATATACATATTTATTTTTTACTTTTTTTATTTTTGTTGATATCCTCCCTTCATTATCGGCTGACTTGTTTATACAAGTAAACTATACTGTGTGAGATTTATTGCTATGGGAATATTGTATAATTTACCATAGAAAACAGTAATAAATTGCGAAATTAAATAGTCAATATTTGATTCGCAAGCATTAACAATAGATAAAATAAAAGACAAAGTTACTTATATCAGAAGTGTCATAGACATTATTTAAAACTCAATTTAAATAAAAAATATGTAGATAAGTTATTTATAGTCATAATAATATTAGGTAAGTGAGTGATAATATAACAAACACAATTATTACATGTGTTTATGAATAAAATTAAAATATACTTTTTATTGTTTTCTAATGTTTTGATGTGTTTTTTTTTCTCGTGTCTGTGAATCATTTACAAATCAAAAAATCTTTTTTTTTTATATCAGACAATAACATTTTGAAAATAATACAATTAGCTGCATAAGTTCTTAAAAAAGTTAGAATTTGCATATCATTTATTACAAAATAAACTTGATTTGATTTGTTTAAAAAAATAAAACTTCATTCTTATATAATAATAATAAGAGTGTGTGTGAGAAGAGTGTGTGTGCGTGCATGCGCGCATGCGTGTGTGTGTGTGTGTGAAGAAATAAAAGAAATTAATAAACAAAAATATAAACTGATATTGCTACTAAATTTTTATGTGCTACCAAACTTATGTTAATTTTATACTAAAAAAACACTCATATCAAAAAACTTGGATTATTTACTCTTATAACTGGAATAAACAATGCTCACAGTTATTCTCTATTTGTATTTTTTATTTAACACTGTAATATTTCCTTTTTTTTTATGTTTTATTATACAAAATTACTCTTAAATGTAAAATCTCAAGTGAAATTTACTTTTAAAAAATATATGTACGGAAAATTAAATATTCAGTATATACAAACACTGCTATTTCCACGTTGTATTTAATTTCCTGTTTTTTATTTACTAAAAAAAATAACGCTTTAATTGTATACAACAGATATTTTCCTATCATCATGATTTCAATAAAGTTCTCATGCATATTCCTAAGTTGCCTATTTCTTTGAATTAATATAAGTATGTTTATGTCGATAAATACATTTTTTTACTGTTTAACAATTTTAGGCGATGGATTGTATCATTAATTTTTGGACAAGTTGTCTGTTTTTGGCTTGCGCTGTCCTCAGTTTTATACAGCCTGAAGTTAGGCTCTAGAGACTGTCAACATCTAGGTCGTTTCATTGCAACACATGCAGTTTCAGCACTTTGCAACTTTCATCCTTAAATAAATTGATGAGTATTCAATATAACTTCATTACCCCTAAAGCTAATTGAGGATTGATGGGGTACTCAATCCGTCATCAGCCCTCTCACAATACACATTCACTCTAATAAATACACTATACATAGATACTTACAAAATGAGATATCTACCAACTACACTGACAGGCAATTACACGCAATTTATTTATTTTATTTTTTTTTTTTCATTTTTTCAATAAAAGAAAATTCTTCCCTTAATTTGTCTCATTGTTTTTATCAATAAATAAATATTTGTTTATGCTGTTTTAAATTGGGAATATCAATTAGAGGTAAACAAACTTAATCTTTAATCCAAAACAAGGATAAAGGATTTGTCAATGTTTATTCAGTCTCATTTGAATTTTGAAGCTATAAACTGTTTAGTTTTCATCTTTGCTTTCTTAATTTCAATTTTAAACTTAAAAATGCCACTTAGTGCTGAGGATGTTGTGCATGGTGTGGCACTTATTGATGATGGACGATCCATCAGGTATGCGGCTATTGCCATCAGAGTTCCGTACAAAACACTGCGAGATACAACATTTTCAAGAAACTGGGTCCTACCGTGGAAGGCCTGGTTCTAAACGCCCTGGGTAACAGAACCACATGATGACCGTTTTTTGACCTTGAGAATTTTGCAAAACCGGCACCTTACTCTTGTTCAAGTGATTCTTCAGCTCCAGGAAGTAGGAGGTGTCCAAATTTCTGAACACACTGCTCGAAGAAGATTAAATTAGTATGAGCTGATGGCTTTTCGCCCCGTAAGAGGACCAGAATTGACCAGAACACACTGAGTTGCACGGCTCGCATTTGCTCGAGAACACAGCCATTGGTATTTGGACGATTAATCTGCTGTACTTTTTACAGATGAGTGTAAATTTGCTCTACAATCTCCAGATGGGCGTGAAAGAATGTGAAGTAGGTGAAATGTAAGGTACGAAGCCTGTAATTTTCCCCAGAGTCAACCTTTTCAATGTAGCTCAGTGATGGTGTGGGCGGGAATCTCAATGGAGAGTCACACAGAGTTGGTTGTTGCTTGTGGAGGGGCTTTGATGGCCAATCATTATCTGGATGTAATTTTAGAACATCATGCGTTGCCTATCCTCGATGAAATCAGCGACAATCCTATTCTAATGCATGATAATGCCCGTCCACATGTCGCTTGCATAGTACAAACGTACCTTCGACAGCATAACAACAGGGTCTTAGCCTGGCCAGCCCGGTCTGCAGACTTGAACCCCATCGAACATTTATGGGATAATCTCAAAAGACGAATAAGAGCTCGTCCATCACTTCCTGATACACTCCACCATCTTGAAAGGACTCTTCGTGAAGAATGGGCTAACCTCCAGCAAAGAGACATTTCCAGACTGGTAGAAAGTATGCTGAGGTGTCTTCGAAATGTAATTAAGGCAAGAGGAGGAAATAAGCGATATTGAAATGTTAATTAAAAATCGAAAATAGATTTTCCATCTTTTTTTTTAATCAGCAATTTACATTTTTTAACTTTTTTAGACAAAGTTCCAATTATTAAATGTTAAAAAACGCGAAACTTTGATTTATATATAAAAATATATACAAATCAAGTTATATTACAAGTGGGTGAAACTTTTGCCTGTCAGTGTACATACTATAAAACACCCCCCCCCCCAAAAAAAAATCGAAACAGGGGATCCAAAAACTTCTTGCTTAACTCAAGCACAATTTTCATAATAGGTTGCAGCCCTACTTGATCTCTTTGCAGAGCCAATGACACCCTTCAATTGAGTGGGTCACATCAATCAACTTTTCTCTACAATGTAGTAGGTATTTAGTATCTATTATTTTAATTAGGTAATGCAGTTGGCAGAAATTATATAGTTTTTGCATCAAATTAACCCTTTCTTAAGAAGAGCAATAAAAAACAAAAAAACTCATTTTTTTCAAAATTAATGTGTTTTTGTACTTGTATCTCCAGGGATATAGCTTTTGTCCATCAAATTAACTCTTTTTAACTTCAAATTAAACTTTTTAATTTCAAATTGTCACTTTTTAACTTCAAATTAAACTTTTTAAACCGTTTTATTAATTTCAATCTAACCCTTTTTAACTTCATATTAACTCCTTCTTTAAAGCAGTAAATCATATATTAAAATAAATAATTCTTGTTTTATAGAATAGTTAAAACATTTTTTAACAAAAACTAGAATTTGCACTATCAATTAAAATGGTAAATAAATAAATTTGTTCTTGATTGAAGAATTTGGAGATGATTTCATTTTTGAACCTTCTTTAACTTCAAATTTTAAACTTAACTGGTTAGGGATGGTTGGATTATGGTTTTAAGAGGGGCGTCGGTGGCTGCAACGGTCTAGGTGTAGACACAGCGCGCTCATCACTGTAAGGTAAAGGTCCTGGGTTCGAATCCAGCAAGCCTGCATTCGAACCCGACATATTTACAAATGGGCTTTTTTTTCAAAAACACCAGCACCCCGAGGGTTGATAACCCTCATAAAAAAATTTTAAAAAAACAACTAACTTAAATTTAACTTTTTTAAATTCCAAATTAACCCTTTCTTTAAAGTAATAAAAAACCTTAAAATTCACAAGAAAATTAATCATAATTAAAACTAAAAGTCATATACATTTAAATATAAAAAATAATTTTTCTATTATAAATTTCAATGTTTTCTTCTATTTCGACCTCAACAGTTTAACTTATGATTTTTCCTTCTTATTATTTAATTTTTTTAATTTTCTTATTATCCCACCTTCAAGAAGGAAAAATCAAGATAAATTTCAATTTTATTTTCTTTTTTTAATTTAAATATTGGACTCTTCTATCAAATACCATTTTTTTTATGTGCCAAAAAGTACTGATCTAACTCACCAGGATAGGAGGATACAAATAGGGGCTTAACTATTTCAAATGTCAGATACTCATCAAAGTACATCCTTTGAAAGGTTTTATTAGCGTGGTTTTTAAGTTTTTTTTTTCCTTTTAAAAAATGGGTTTAATTTGGAATTTAAAAAAGGATAATTTGAAGTTAAAAAGGGGTAATTTGAAATTAAAAAGAGTTAATTGAAACTTAAAAAGGGTTCATTTGAACAAAAAAGCAATAAAAAAATAATTAACAGCTTTTTTATTATAAATCATAATAAATACACGTAAAATTTTAATGGACAATTAATAATAATTTGATTTGTGTAAATGGGAGTCCATAAGGCTAGAGTGTAACACCCTAACCCATCGACTGCTGCGATCCACCATGAAAGATTTAAAGGGTACAAATGTGCACATTTAAAAATAAATTAAGTTCCATTCTAGCAGAACACTTATCTAAGGCAAATTAAAATGAGTATAAATTTTATAAATTAAATAAGTCACATAAAATATATACAATATATTCCTAGTAATATAACAAAAATAAATTAATATTTTAACAATTTAATAAAATGTAATAATACTTAATTCTGGCTTGGATTCTTTACAAAGAATTTACAATAAAAGAACTGATTGTTGACGATTTACATTGAAATATATACATTTAATTTTTTAATTGTGATTCTTTCATAGTGCAACTGTCTTTTATCAGCACGATTTAATGTACAAATCATATATTATCAGTCTTATGACTTCATAAAAACACAATCAGCCACTACATTGCAAATACAATTATGATATTTTAAATATTGTTCTTAAGTAGCTGACCTTCAATGTAAATGTTTCAAATTTTACAAAAATAAATAAAAGCGTGCTGAGTATTACATGGAAATATCCTCGAAGAAGTCATCATCATAAACATCTGGAAAATCTAAATCGCCTGTATTATTTCCGTATGTTAACGCATCGAATTGGTTTAAAATTGTGTCTACCTGGTTTTCAAGATCAATTATATTTAATGTATTCTGTATCCGTTCTTTGAGCGGTGTTTCGATTGCATCGCTGATCTGATATCTCAAGATATTGGGCAAAAAATTAGCGACAAATTCCAATAGATAATCGAACGTTCCTAATCCGTTCATTCTTAACTGTATATTTCCGATTTTCAGTTTCAATTCTTCAAGGACCGGAGTTTTTCTTATGTCCAGGCTTTGATTGAATTTTGTTTCAATTTCCATATGTTCGATAGTAAAACTTGTTATACCAGGTGATGCTAGTTTTTTGACTCCGGGTATTTCCCATTTGCACTGCCCGTGCAATCTTCTTGTCGATATATGTATATATGTAGAAAGGGTATTGTTGCTCATCGTTACAGTGACGTTGCCGACGCGAAAAAAAGTGGCCAATCCAGAAATCCAAATATTCGTTATATCAACTCCGAATATACCCGGATTATAATTGTAATCCGGTATTTTATACGGATCGTAATCGTTTTCCCTCACATATTTCCGTAGTTCTGCGACGATCAAATCAAATGGAGGTATAGAATTGGGGAAGGTCTGTTTCAAAGATTTTAGAATTTTGTTGATATCTGCTCTAACATTTGTATTGACTTCTTTCAATATATAAGGCTTTACACTGTCAAAAACAAAACTGCTAAGTGCATTTATCATCCCTGGAAATTTTTAAACGAAATCAAACTTTGTTGAACTGTTACAAGCAACTATATAAGAAAGATGAGAATGTTACAATTACCTTGTAAAAGTGATGCAAGAAAGCCAACGTTTTTAAAATCCAGTTTCATATCATCAAATGTTATGTCCATCTTTATGTCTGTCGCCTCTAAGTTACCCAAATGAGCTACTTCAAGCAGTGCCAACGCCTCGAAATACACACCTACTAATGAAATATTAAATTTGTCAGAGCGCACAGAGCCTAAAAGTGGCATCATAGTGTAGTTTCCGCGGATTTCCACTCTGGCGTATTTCAAGGCAGCTTCTACCTAGAATGTTTGAAATTATTATTACAAATTTATTTTTCACACGTTCACATTTTGATTTTGCACAAATTTAGATTAACTTTATTGCTTTACCTGCATTTTAGCCATGTTTGAAAAGACTTGATCGATTCTAAATTTAGACAAACCGTGTACAGTCACGTTCTGCAAGTTAATTTTAACGAGCGATTGTTGAAATTTTATATCAGGAATAGGCATGGGATCCGGAATCGGAATTCCTGGCAGCCCAACTGGATCCGGCTGTTTGTAATGTTCTATTATTTGCCTTATATGGTTGCTAATACCGCTCCCGTTTTCCTCTTCTTCCATAGAAAATTCTACACAAAGAACAAAATCAAATATCAGGATTAAATATATTCTAAACTTATTCATTTATTTTAGTAAAAAACATAAAAACGAAATTTATNTAGTAGTCATAATTGACCGTATTAATTATTTAAATTAATTCTACTTTTTATCTGAGGATTTGGTTGAGATGAAAAAGCTAGTGTCACAAGCGGGATTCGAACCCACGATCTTCGGCTAGATACGCCGCTGCTCTACCACTCGAGCTATTGTGACTTCGATCCACTCCGTTTTATACCTCCATCACGTGGTTCTAGGGCTTAACTGATCTTGATTCATGGTATATTTAATGTTTCCATAAACCCCTCTCACACAACACCTTTTATGCTAATAAGTACATATATTCGACAGACTAGAAAAATTGCTTCTGTACTCAAGACAGGTAAAATGACATTTTAGAATATAACTTTTTTCCTGTCAAATTAACCCTTTTTAATTTCAAATTAACTCTTTTTAGCTTCAAATTAACCATTTTTAACTTCAAATTAACTATTTTTCTCTTCAAATTAACTTTTTTAATTTCAAATTTTAAATAAAAATTAAAAATTAGATAAATTTAATATACAAAAAAATATTTTCAAAACTAGTTAAAAAATTTCTTAACATAAACTGGAATAAGGGTGAGTGTAATTTTGTTCCCTCCCCCCTCAATGTTTTTTTCATTTTGTTAACCATATTATCCACATTATTTAACCATGAGCAATTTATTTACTATCAATTAAAATTATAAAGAAATAAATTGATTCGTAGTTGAAGAAGTTGGAGATGATTTTGTTTTTCCGAAAAACGAAGTTCGGATATAGTATTTCTGCGAATTGAATACAGTTGGTTCAAATAAAAAAAAACCTTTCCACCATTGAATTTAGCATTTTAAAAAATCCTTTCGAAATATGAATGTTGACGAGTATGTTACCTTTTGAAATAGTTAAGCCCCTATCCTTATCCAGCTATAAGTTTATTTGTCTCAGTGTTTTTCTTAATTTTTTTTCTTTTTTTTATATAAATAACAAAGACAGAAGTTAAACTCACCCTGTATATTCCACTTTTTGTTAAGAAATTTTTTAACCTTACATAAAATATGAGACCAAGAAAAGACCTATATTTTTATTTCTTAAAAAATCCAGAATTAATAATAGAAGTTATTTTTTTATATTTTATTGTATAAAACTTTCAATTTTAATTGTAATTAATTTTCATATGTTGTTAAGTTTTTTACTTATTTAAAGGATTAATTTGAAATTAAAAAGAGTTAATTTTAAATTCACAAAAAGAGTAACTTGAAGTTAAAAAGAGCTCGTTTGAAAATAGAAAGGGCTAAATTGAAATATCAAAAATTAAATTAATTTGATGGGAAAAAGTTACAAATGTCCATTTCATGTAATTATTATATAATTATTTTAATATTTATATACACATATACAGATTTTTAAATTCTTTAAGAACAAAAAATTATGGAAAGGGGGTACTTTTCCTACTCAAGAAACAAATAATCCTTAATTTTACAATAAAAAAGCAAAATCTGCATTTTGTGAATTTCTATAAATTAAATTTGCTAATAAATAAAATAGACAAAATATAATAATATCAAAACAATTTACAAACATTTTAGTCATTTTAATTTAATTTAATATCGTAATATCACTACCGGTTCATAGTTTTCATAAAAATCCATTGAAATTCTCGTAATTTTGTAAGTGATAACTGTATGGTACCAAAAATACCACAGGATCTTCTCTACAAAAGCAAGTGGAGTTCATTGACCGACTTATGGAGTTTTTTTCAGCCCATCTCAAAAGAATACTGAAATAATCCCGCCCATGGTTTGTAAAAGATTTTCAAAATACCACGTTTCTGTCCAAATCTACTGGCATTTTACCATGAGACATTTTTCTTATACGTAGCATTACGATGTACTAAGAATAATATTGTAAATATTATAATCCAACAGATATTATTACAGACTATCATTACTATTTAAAAAAGGTGATAAAGTTGTTAAAGATTAATCTTAGTACCAAAAAAATAAAAACTCTACTTACGTCAATGTTACAGCATCATTCAGGTTTAGTTATAACTAGATTCTTAGCTGTTACATAATTAAAAAAACATTTTGGACAACCAAAGTTGACATTTGGCGCTTTAAATTATTAAATTGAAATGCAAATTACCTGTTGAATATCCTGCTTGAAGTAGTAAGAAGAGAAAAATAATACAAATCACCATCTTGGAACGACTGTCACTACAGTGCCTATTAGAGGGATTGAGGAAATTTAAACATTGCAGATGAATCTTATCATTGACTTTTGACCTCAAACTAGATAATATGATCTATTGAGTTGATATTGCTTAAAGATTTGGCGCGGTATGGTCATTTTACCAAACTACTATTGATTAATCCACAAGTGATAGTTTCCGTTGAAAGTACAAGGTTCATCTTCTGCCCTTGGAATGTTTTTTTTGTTTTTTTAATTACACAATTGAAAAATAGAGGACGCCTTGAAAAATATGATGGGTCCATGTCTGTAGAAACAGTTTTAATAAAAATTAATAAAAAAGAACTTCAAATTGGAAGTTGTTTTCCACCTTTCAGTCAGTCAATTTGTGAATTAGGTGATTAACCATTTGATCAGGAGGTTCACGTCTATTTCTTCAAGTTTTACCCATATCAGACACAAACAATGAGCACTATTATGAAATCACTATGAAAATCATTATATTGGTAGCTGAGCCTTTCAACTGACTTCTTGTGAGAAGTTACACAGAGAAGGTGGTCATTGGATGTTGGGAGTCATACAAATGTTTCAGAGGTATTCATTTTTCCGCCTGTATGTGTGAAGGATTTTGTAAGAGACATTTAATGTTCTATTTGTTTGTTGAAACAGTTTATTCCTTAATGGTCTTCCTGGGTCATTTTCTTCCTTTAGGTTCAAACCCATCGCTCACCCTAGGGCTCAAACTACCTGGAAACTCGTGTGATTTTAAAAAGAAGGAAAACATACTTTATAAAATCATGTGAGATCTTTATAACATACTTTATATAACTTTATATAAGTATAACATACTTTATAAAATCATGTGAAGTGACAAGTTTCCATTTTATTGAACTCAGGTGTATTAAATTGTTAGATTACCTTTATCCTCCGTTTTACAAACCGGTGAGGAGAGGGAGACAAAAATGATCCATAATGGCCAAATTTCTTATCTATAATGAATGCATTTATTAGCATGAGTCTTTGAGGGAACGGATGGGTTTGTGGCAGAAGATGCAGACCAAATTAGGTTAGTTTTGTAGGGTAATTGTGATTAGAGTGAAAGGGGGTGATAGGCACTGGTGTACTACTGGAGTACTAGTTACTCCCAAATTTTCTCTGTACATATTGCATGAGTGTATTTATTAGCATGAATAATGGCAGATCCTAAGTGGAATATCCAGAACACTGAGACCAGCCAAACTTAGGTTAGGCCACAATCTATGTATATATGTATGTACATATGCACACGAGCTGCAAAGCATTGTCACCATATGCAGAAGGGCCAATCAAGAAAGATAATAGAGTCCGAGAAGTTTCATAAAAAATTAAAGAACGCCAACCCTCCTATTGGAGAGCCAAATTTCTAAAAAGATTAGTTGTGAAAAATGAAATATAGATGAATACAGGGATCTTCATTAAACACTTCGAGGTATAGACTACATCCAAGGATTTTGCATTGCAATTTGTATTACCAGGGATTATATATGGTTAGTTTAGTATTAGGGACGAGTTAGGTTATATATCCAACATTTTTAAGTTTAATGATGAATACAAATATGAGGTTTTACATAATTTATTTTTAATCATTGCATAATTTATTTTAATTAAAATACAAAACAAAAAGAAATTAAGTTTGAATGTATAAAAAATTTCGCATAGGATATTAATAAAACAAAATAAATAAATAGATCTCAACCTTAAAAATTAATGACACACATAATATATGTGGTTTTGTTTTATTTAAATATTATCACATACCCTGGTTTTACAATTCATAACTGGTTGTTTGTACTGTAATTGTATCCAAACTATAAAGTCTATATCTAAAATAATAATTTTAGTTTCAAATGAAAATTAATCGAATTTGAAAGGAAATAGTATTTTTGTACTAATTATAACATCCGTTTTAAACATCACATGTTCAGTTACCTTTTTCTGACATCACATGCTGTCAAAGCGATTATGAGATCAGTTCGGATGGTGCTTTTATGAAGATTTATTAATATTCTAAATTATAATTACTACAAAAAATGCCTAGTGCATTTTTTTCGACTATGAATTACTAGTAGGATCACAATTATTTATAACTCAGAAACCAACATATTCTTGTAATAAAGAACATGTTGTTACAACCATGTACACTGTGCTATCTAATTTAAATGTATGCCTTAAAGCCAATTAAATATTTACTTTTTATAAAAGTAATTATACATATGGTCCTATATCATTTCAGAGCATGTTTCAACCCATTGATTTGTCGGTTGAATCCAAAACCTAATGAACAGCATTTCAAATGGTTCAAAAGATTTAATTATTACACCATGATTTTTCAATCATCTTCATCATTTGAAAAGTGTTGAGAATTTCTCGCTTGATTCATAATAGATTCCACTTTGTTAGCAGTCTCTCGCAGAGCGCCTGACAGTTCGGGCAAGTCAGGAAGATCGAGAGTTATATGCGCCGATAGTCTTTTGTACACTGAGCTCGTTTCCTTCGGCCTGAAATGATCATTAACCACTGAATTACTGGAAAATGGGAAGCAAGTTCATTACACAAATTATGAATTTGAGCATACATTTAAAATATCAATTATATCGAGAGGGGGTTCTTGAAGAAGTTGTAACAGAGTTACAGTGGTGCAACAGCAGAGGTCATGTCAACCCCCTGAGGTATCAGTTTGGAAAAAGCTCATTTGTAAGACCTCTGGGTTTGAATTCAGGGCCGCTGAGATTCGAACCCAGGACACTAACATTGATTTCATAAATCAATATCAATTGAAATGATGATGATTTATATTTAGCAAGCCCTCAGCTTTTATTTATTTCATTTTTTAAAACATCTAACTGGATATAGTTTCAAGTGTGTTTAGTCAATTTAACTGACTTCCAAAGGTTATACAGGTGCTTAAACAGAATGCAATAATAAATAAGAAAATACCAAAAACATTCTTGGGGACCAAGATAGTGGAATATTTGGAGAGTCCTTGCGTACTCTTAATTGCCATGCTTGCGGTTCTGGGTTTGAATCCCAGCATACCCAATGGTTTTTTTTATTTGGTCATCATGCTGTCCTGTATGATAGGAAATAATTTACTTTTTACTGTTGTTAAGTTATGAAAGATTATATTGATTTTTGACAATTCAGGTTAGAAAAGTTATTTTTCCTTATTCTGTGAAATTGTCATAATTCATTATGGACTGGGATAGAATACTGTACCCTTTAAAATGGATTTAATACAATTAAACATTAAACTGAACAAGACATTTAGTTGATATATTTTCAATCTAAACTTGTAACCCTTGAATGTCGGTAACTTCTGTAAATATAATTAGTCGGTCAAAATTATTTATTTAATAATTAATTTGAAGTACCATATTTTTAACTTGGATTTGACTTTGAGCTGGATTCACAATGTTTTTGCATGGCTGTTTTCAAATGCATGAGTTAGGTTACATATCCATGTTTCTAAATTTTGCCTTGAAACGGAGGAAAAATGCATGTTAAAAAATTACTTTTTTAAATTATTGAATCTTTGAAAAATTATCTTTCATTGAGTACAGTTTATAATACAGACACAATCCAGTGATAAAATTTCTTTTCTCAAAAAGTGAGAAAAAGTTTAATGTAAAAAGTTTTTATTAGATTAATAAAAAAATCGCCCATATAACAAAAACCTATTTATAAAACAATTTAAAACGTACAGCAGTGAAAATCATAATGACTAGATTCTAGGCATTTTTTGTGAGTCTGTTTTTGAATGCATGGGTTGAGTTAGATTAGATAGGAATGGTTAGATTATGGTTAGGGTCTGGTTACATATTGGATTTCATGTTTTATTCACAAAGCTGGAAAATATGTTATATAATTAATTGTAATAAGCAATTTTCTAAAGATTTTTTTTTAAATTATCTAATTTTAAAAAACTATCTTTCATTGAGTACAATTTATTTTATCTTTTCTTCCAGAAAATGAGAAAAATTTAATGTAAAAAGTTGTTGTTTTTATTAGATTACTAAAAATCCCCCATATAACACAAACTTATTTATAAAACAATTTCAAATGTACAGCAGTGAAAATTGTGACAAGATTACTTTAAAATTACATTAATATTTATTGCAGTACAGAATTTAACTTAACATTAGTCTAATATACAATTTAAAATTTATTTATTATGCTAGTCTATGATTAATTATGTTATTATACAATTTAATAGTTAATTTGTTAAGCTAACAATAAATTGGCTTATATATACAGTACTAGCACTTACCGGGGAAGGTGTTCAATAAAAAAAAGACAACTTTTTACATCAAGAATTTTAATTTATTTAACAACTTTTCTTTAATAAATAAAAGCTGCCACAATGGCGATAACATCGACGCTCAATGAACCAAGAGCTTTATACACTCTCAGTTCCAATAACAATAAATATATATATTTAAAAACTAAGATTTTTAACTTTAAGTATTAAGTATGAAAATATTTTAATTTTTCCCAATTTAAACAAGAAATTCAGACGATTATCTACTAAATGATAGTTAACTAACTAAATGCGTTGTGTTTTCTGACGGCATTCCTAATTATAAAAACATCCATTTTAACAAGAGATCAAATAAATTATAATAATTATGTTGGAACCTTACCTTCTACTTTCAATGTATTTTAACTGTTGTTTGAAGAAAACAGCGTCTCTTAACAGTTTCTGTGTATTGTCGAAACTTTCTTCAGCATTTTCGACTGACTTGACTGCGCTGAAATGAAACGATGTTACATTAACTTCAATACAATGGAAAACAAGGTAAGTTAGAATAGGTCATGCATGGATGAGCCAGAAGTCTACAAAAGTTACTTGTCAACTTCAAGGTCTGTAAAAACAGGATGGCAAAACCCTGTGAGGTCAAAAAATAAAAGACAAACCAACAGACCATCTCCCTTAATTAATCCATAATATTCTCATTTTGTAAATTTATTATATGTAACAAAATTTTTAACTAAATAATTGATTCTTGTAACTATAAAGATATTATTTTGTTTATTTGGTAAATATTTAAAAAAAGAAACTTTTGGCACACCTTGTATCAATGATGTTGTCAGTACTAAATATCAATTAAATTATATATTTTAATTACGATTATGATAGTTTACACACCTAACAGCATATTCCACATCATAACATCTCCCTTGCAATTCTTGGTTGAGTTTCATTACTTCAACTCTTTTATCTACCATTGGAGGTAACGCCTTTCGAACATGTTCCTGCAGTCTGTAGAACGCTAAAGACGGTTCGTTGGCGATTATGTGGATGTTTTCTGAAATTCGCTCAGTCGCTAAAAATAAATTATCAATATTTTGATATAAATTGAGCGCAAAATTGGGAGTTATCCTATTGAAATTTTCAAGCTAGCCAAACTCTTAAAAGCAATTTAGTGCTATTTTTGAGTTTAATTATGTTCAGATAGAAAATATACAATTTTTTCTTCCAAAAAAAAAGCATTAACATGGTGTCCTATAATCTACCATGACTAATGAAAAGAATGTACACCACCTTTGCATGCGCTTGCCTGAAATTAAAATGAAAAGCAATGAAATAAACTCAATTTCAACAAAATGTGTGTAACAATTTTAAAACAACAAACTTTTATGATTAATTTTTAAAAAATGCCTTAAGCATTTACATATGCTTAGGTCCAGGACACAAAGATAGCCCACGCTGATATTTTGTCTGTACATTACAATAGTGTGTTTTCATTAAGTTTTTTTAAAAATATAAATTACTTTTTCAGCTAAATTTTTAATTGAATCTTGTTATTTAATTGCCAGTAAAGTTTTAATCCCTTGAAATAATAGTAGTTGGTATTATCGATGTAAACTTTTGTCATGGATCATGCCAGTTGTTTGATGCTTTCTGAACGCGCAATATTAAGAACCAAAAATTTTAGCAAATCGATTTTGGAAATATCAAGAAACATAGGACGGGAATAAGACAGTCATTTTTACCTTTTTAAATAATCTAGAAACTACAGAAAGAAGAGGGCAGAAGGCCAGGTAGGCCATCTGTTTTGACCTGCAGGGAAAATACAAGCAATTTTGAGTCTCGCTTCATATTTGTTATACAGGTTGGGCCTGCCAAAATTGGAACAGCATACCCAAAGATTTGCTGTCGTGCTTGAGAATAATTCTTATATCGGACGGTATTCCTACTCGCTCCCTATTTGGAGCCAAGGAATGACACCCGTCAATTATATGGGACTTATTGAGCAACCATTCTCTGCATGCTGGAAACATATGTGAACTTTGGCCCAAATGTAAGTGTCTGTGTGTCAATTGCATACGGCTAATTCTAAGTTGGGTTAGGATTATCCTTCTTCTGCAGTTTAAATTCTCTGGGGGGGTCACCTACCGACTGTGCTCTCGAAGCATAAGAGCTTCTCGGAAGACCCAGTCCACTGACTATTTTTTAGCATATTCTTTATTGCTTGTTTAGCACCAGCGGGTTGGATCGTGTATAGTTTACTATCGGGTAGATAGCAATGTCTGGAGTGTGAGCCATCACATACAGCTCAGTGTTGTACACACTGTATTCCACAAAGTGGAAACTCCTCTACTGTACATGGTGCAAGCCACACCTTCTTCGGTCTTAGAAATGCCTAGAAATGTGAAGAAGCAAAAACCGATACACAAGTTCGGGGAACTTAGCGAGTTATAGATATGTCAATTAGTTCATTAAACTAGAAAACGAAATACAAGATGTTAAAAAGACTTGAACGATGCACGCAAGACCTGACTGATCTTTGCCTTTGGACATAATACCAATTTACCTTTTTTGACTTTGCCTTCTAAGTGAGGGTCTTTTTCATCATAAGGTGTCATCATGAAGTATTTTGATACAATTTCACGGTAAATCAGAGCCCAGTGATATTCATTATGCGATGAAGATAACTAAAAAAATAATAAAATAAACCGCTAAATATGTCAAATTTTATGAACTGTACACTGGTTGACTACAATATACACAATGACAATTTTAGTAAAAAAAATTTTGCTTGTTTACCTGTTTAACGGCCAAAATAAAATAAAGCGATCACATTTTAAGAATAGTCGAATTAGTTGAAGTTCATCGTGCAACCTCCCAGATAAGAAACAACCGTCGGTAGTTGATACTGTGATAGTTTGGTACTTGGTACTTTCGATGGTAGGGTAGGTCGATCAATCAGGTCTCCCGCCATGCGAATTTTCTTTTACAAACTCAGTTTTACGTCCTTACGCTAAAATAATGTATAGAAAATACATCTATTACATTATTAATTTTTAAAAATCATATCATTCGTTTAATGAATTTGTCTTAAATTAACGACCGTCCGTGGTTTTTTTATATGCGACTCTGATCATTTGACAAACAGGACTTAAAGTACATGATTAATAGTTTCTAGAGTTTATTTATTTATTTAACGGGCAAGAGTACATTTACAAAAAAGATATTGTACATATAAATGAAATTATACGCTTAAATGTACATTCTTTTAGTATGTAACATAAAATATAATATTTACATACAGCTGAGAGTATTTCACATAAAAAGAATGACTTGTAGAATATTATATGAAATAAGACAAATGTCTATTGATTTAAAACATAAAATACAAAAGGAGTTATTGCTGGTGGGCTGGATTGGTAGAAAAGCTCTGACATATCAAAGTTGATAGGTGGCCTCTGAGGATCTGAACTGTAGAAGAGGGATCATCCTTACCCAATTAAGAATGGGTGAGCTTGACACAAGTACACTTGATAATGATGTATACGGGTTCCAGGAAGTCAGGGCTTTTTGTTCCCCAAGGACAGCTTTCTGGCTTTCCTAGTTCCTCGGTTCAATGCAATCGACTCAATCCTTCTCCCAGTGTACTAGGTCATTGACTGTCGTCGCTACCATTCCTTTCCCTGGGTTTTCTTTGATTTCCAGGTTATTTCTCTAATAAGAGGATGGTTCACATTCGAAGATGTATGGGTAGCTGTTTGTTCCTCCTTGTTGCATAACCTACAAATGGGGTCATTATTGAATATACCCATGTTGGGTAGATGCTTTCTCAGATGTCAGTCGCCAGTTTATAACCATTACATCCCTGAGGTATACCCTGTTTATTTGTAGCAACAATTTGCCAGTTTTGATGAGCGTTCTTTAACCATAAGTATACTGCTAAAGTTTGTCTACTGCTTCTGAAATGGAGACTGATCCTGAAATATGATGTATCATCATCCCTAGTTCCTTAGTTCAGTTCAATTAAGTCGATCCTTCTTTTAAGATGAATTACATCTCCAAATTTTTTTACCAGTCCTCTTGTAGATAATTGCTGGACAAAACTTCTCCTTTTGCCTTTTTTGGAGCCATTCTGTGGTGAAGGGTTCTGTGTTTGTTTTTCACGTCATATGATGAAGATGGTTACTAGGAAATTGCAGGTTTTTGTACCCCAAGCACTGCAGCCTTCTGATTTATTATACTTTCTTAGTTCTTTAGTTTAGTGCAATAGATTCAATCCTTCTCCTAGACATACTAGATCAGTGATAGTTGTTGCTACAATTTCCCCTGGGATTTCTTTATATCCCAGGTTATGTCTTTGTAAAGTGGTTGCTTCTTATTCAAACATGGGTGGTTTCTTCCACCGACAATATTCAAGCCATCATTGAATATGTAGGTGTTTTCTCAGATGCCAATGACTGGTAGCCCTATCGTTCCCCTGAGTTTTATCCTCTCTAACTATAGCAATGTGCCAGGTTTGGTGAGAGTTCTTGGTGAGAGTTTTTAGGTGTCAGGCACTTCCGGAGTTCACTTACTTCTCCTTACGTTTTTTATGGACCCATTGTGAGAAGTCTTGTTATCCCAATTATAGGTTCTGGGCCTTGCACTTCTTCCTCTGGCTAGTATGTCTGCTTGTTCATTAACCAGATCCTTTGTGCCTAGCTCCTGATTGTCAGGTGATTCGAACATGGGTGGCAGTTCAAGCTCCTCATCACATAACCTGGAAATGGCGTTATCAATGAAAATATACATGTTGTGAAGCTGTTTTCGCAGATGTCAGTGACCAGTAGCCCTGTATTTTATCTTCTAACTATAGCAACGAGCCAGGTTAGGTGAGGGTTCTTTAAACATGAATTTTTTTAAACAAAATTAATCCGTGTCTTTCATTAGAAATCAAATTGAGGGTCTAGATAAGAGGAGTTGTAAAACAATTAAAAATAATGATTACTTAGAAACCGCATATCTAAATAATCATTAATAAACACCACACATTAATAATAACACATTAATAACAATAACCAAACATAATATTGAACTTTATTAAAGCCTAAGAAAGAAAAAGAATAGAAGAAAGCTCAACTTCTTGTAAGATCTAGGTTAAATTGTATGTTGAATAAATAATACAATTTGGACTTGAATGTCTGAATTTTTGTATACAAATAATATGTACAGATAATGAATTCCAAGTTTGAAATTTGAAACTATCTTTGAAATATTAATGCCTTGGCTCAAGGTGCTATTTCCAATTCATCATTTCAGCCTGTACTGACTGTTGTGCCATAGGGATCAACATTAAGACCACTTCTTTTTACCAGATTGGGGTTTTATGGGTTCAACAAGATACTCCATCCTTGTAAATTATGGTTTATGTAGATGACTTTCAGATAAATATTCACTGTTATAAGAAAGACCTTAATTCTAAAAACTTGATATGAAATATCTAATTTGGCTGGTACTAACAATCCATTTCTTAACCCTTTGAAAACAAAAGCCATCATTTTTGGATTAAAAAAATAGATAAATAATGTGCAAGTTATACATTATAACTCAGAGGTTAAAAATCTCGGCATTTTCGTTAATGAGAAATTTGATCGTACAACTCACTACATAACAGTTTCAAAAAAGTTAACCCAATTTTACATCAAGTAAAACTTAAAAAAAATTAATAATAATAAATAAAACTGAGATCTGACTGGGGTCAACTATTCCTTTTAGCCTAGAGATGAGACCATCAAATATATAACCGACTACACTGAAATTGACCACATTCATCGAAAATTTAGCAAAAAGCCACGAATTGATTTGATTTTTTTTCTACTTGTTTAACAATCCTTTCCCAATAAAACTGAGCATCCAGAATTAGAGAGATGCTTAAGGAAACACATAAAATGCCAGCTAAGTACCCAACAAGGATAGGCACTCTATCACCAAAATGCTGCAAAATGACAGTCTATGTGGCACAAGATGGATCCCTTCAGATTGTGTTCTGATTCAGGTGACATCCACTTATCCCCCATTATTGGATATGGCCTGTGGACAGGCCTACAAAGCCGAAATCCGTCTGACAAGCCCTTGGCTATGTAAACTTTAATCGCTTTTGTCAGAAAGGCCTGGGAATTCAGGTAAGGTAGTTTTATTCCTATTTTTGTTGCCTGTTGTTTAATTAGTATATTAGTTTTTGAAAATATTATTTCCTATTTTAATATTATTATTTTAATTACCATCTTTTTATCATTTGCATATATCCTGAGGTTAGCCAGCAACCATTTTTGCTCTCCCAGCTTTCTGAATAGTTATTTATGAACTTTTATAAGGAAGTCCCAAGGCCATCTCCACTTCAATCGCCTTACTGGGTTGTAGGGATGGGTAATGTTGGTCATGGGCTAATGTGTTGGGATGTGAGGATAGTTGTTCATGGATTGTGGAAAATTTGGTGGGGATTAATTTATTTACAAAGGGTATCTTGAGGTTTTTATGGATCATGGTTTTGGAGGAATAGTAGGGAGCTTTGACTATTATTTTTAAGACTTTGGAATAGAAAGACTGAATTCGTTGGATAATGGTTGGTTCAGCGGTGCCACACAGTTCTAGCCCATATGTCAAAATTGGTTTCAATAATGTTTTGCAGAGTGCCAGTTTGTTTTTTGTCAACATATTAAATTTCCGTCCAAGTAGTTTATAAAGAAGTCTGAAGCGTCTGTTCGGTTCTTGTCTTTTTATTTGTATGTGTTGGTTCCAGGTTAAGCGTGTATCAAGATAGAACCCAAGTGTAGATTACACAGTCGGTTTTAAGAATAGGAATTCTAAGATTATTGAGCTGGTGCAAAAATAATGCAGGTTTTGAAAAGGGTCAAAACTATTTTTAATGCTTATAAAATAAAGACAATTTATTTGACATATTTTCCATCACACTTTTTCATCTCAACCACGACCTTACATAAAAAGAATAATTAATTGAAATAATTTAAATAATGTTTATAAATCCCAGGCATTGAAGATGATTTCAATAAAGATCAAACGTTGGCACGATAAAGAAAATCTTTTTCTAAGCTACGTCACACCAGACCGCATCTCACGATCTCTAAGTGATGAATGTAAGACTGTACTACTTGGAATTTTTCCGGTAATTTATTTGATGTTAAAGAATAAAGCCGTAATCCCTTGGATCATCGCGTTCTGCGACCTGTCGCGAATGGGAGAGTCGCGTGAAGACGGGCCGAGGAGTAAAGGGTTTTCGAGGATTTATTGGAATCGGCGGAGGGTGGAGCGCCGCCCCCGGTGGAAGAAGGACGACGGCGTAGGCGGCGCGGCATCTCGCCCTTCACGAGGTACATTTAGTATGGGCCGCCTACGACCTCGTGACGGATAAAACCGCCGGGCTGATAAACCGTTACGTCACCCTGTTATTTAATAATTGTCACTATGACAACGTAACGGTGACGTCACGGATCTGCGTGAGACCGTTTGCGCTCTAGTCTTACTACTATCCAATCATAAATGAGATCTCAAGAAGGTGGTGTAGCTACTAGCTATCTGTAGTATTCTGTATAGAGTGTATAGTATCGGCTCGGCTCTCGTCTTCCTCGACGCTCTAACGCAAGTTAAAACCCGACCAGACGTCCGGGGATCGAATTTATAGAGGAAAAAGCGTAATTTTCGTCCGTGTTTGAGTTCGTTTCGGTTTTCCCGGAGGTTCTGGCGAAGCGGAACCCATTCAAGTCGTTCCGGCCCGTTCCCCGGTGTCTGCCGCGGAGGAGGCGGATTCGTCCTCCCGTGTCCGAGTGTCAGTGCCGCGGATGGATGAAGTTCGGTAACCGGCAGTGGCAGAAACTCCGCTCCTACGCACGTTTATTGACATCGGCCTCCCGCCGCCGACGACGACGGTG